CTGACCAGTTCGATTGTTCACTTGTTCTGTTTGTCGCAAAGTTGTCCAGGTCATCTGTGTATGTTGTTCTCTGTCTTCCCCTGCTCTTCGTTTCCTCTTTCTTTCCACCCAGCAGCAGTTTCTCTTGTCCATAATTTGATCTATTTACTAGGCCAAAGAATATCAGTTGTCTTTTTCTGATGGTTCTGATTAATAAAGGATTAGTAGGTTTAGAAACATCTCAATGAACACCAAAATGAAAGTTCTGAAATTCTATGTTTGGTCAACCCTTTTATTTGGCTGTGAATGCTGGACAATCGCTAAAGACAGTGGAAATAAAATAGAAGGAACAGAAATGTGGTTTCTTAAGAGACTGCTAAGAGTATCGTGGAAGGAAAAGAAACCAAATGAGGTAGTGCTTGATGAACCTCACGTGAGACGCTCAATGTTAAAAACAATCAGGAAACGACAAATGCAGTTTTTGGGACAAATACATAGACATAAGGGTCTTGAACAGCTAGCTCTCAGTCTCACTGGCAAAATTGAGGGCAAGCGAGGCAGGAGTAGGCCCAGAACAACATACTTAGGGAACCTAAACAAATGGGTAACGGGGAAAGATCAGGGAAACATAGCTTTTTTGAGAGCATCCGAGCAAGGGAATGAACGGAGAACCATGATCGCCGATGTCTATGGAGGATCTGGCACAGGATGATGATAAGTAGGTTTAAAAAGGAAACCTGACAGTTGTGCCCATATCTTCTCCCTCCAGCTGAGGTCCCGGCAGAGAGCCGCGTTAACGTGGAGCTGGCTTTGTCACTGGACCCTGGCGCTATAGACAATGTCACCTTGAAGATTGCTGTCAAGGAAAAAGTAAGTCTTTGTTTAGTAAATCAAGAAAAAAGTTAGTTTTTGTTGTCTCAAGTCAAGAAAAAAGTAAGATTTTGTTTAGTAAGTCAAGAATAAGGTAGGTCTTTGTTGTCTTTGGACCCTGGCGCCATAGACAATGTGACCTTGAAGATTGCTGTCAAGAAAAAAGTAAGTCTTTGTTGTCTTAAGTCAAGAAATTAATGGTAAGTTTTTGTTGTCTTAAGTCAATAAAAAAGTACATTTTTGTTGTCTCTAGTCAAGAAAAAAAGTAAGTCTTTGTTGTGTCAAGTCAAGGAAGAAGTAAGTCTTTGTTTTCTCAAGTCAAGAAATTAATGGTAAGTGTTTGTTGTCTTAGGTTAAGATAAAAGTAAGTTTTTGTTGAGTAAGTCTAGAAAAAGGCAAGCCTTTGTTGTCTCAAGTCAAGGATAAAGTACGTTTTTTTTTGGTCTAAGGTAAAAAAGACGTAAGTTTTGTTGTCTAAAGTAAAGAAAAAAGCAAGCTTTTGTTGAGTAAGTCAAGAAAAAAGCAAGCCTTTGCTGTCTAAGGTCAAGAAAAAAGTAAGTTTCTGTTGTAATGTTGTGTCAAGTCAAGAAAAAAAGTAAGCCTTTCGTGATCATATTATTTGGGGTAATTCTTCAGCTTTTTATTAACAGCGTCTTTATAAGGAAAAGCAAACCCCTTTCTACATGATTATATTCGATAATGTTGTAGTGACTGTCATTGACGAACAAAAATAAAACATCTTAATGTATTGTTTTTAAGTTCAATGTAAAAAAAAAAAAGGAAAATAAAAAGAAATTAGGTATCAACTTTTAGGCGGACTCAACATTTAAATTATCTGACGTAAAGCCGCTGTTAAAAACATTTCGATTTTTATTCATATATGAACTGGTATTGTTTGAAATAAAAATAGACACCCCCCCCCAATCCTCACCTTTCTAAAAAAAATATTAATTAAAATGGATAAAAAATTTTAAAAAGATGACAGTACTGAATTGTGGTCCTGAACATATTTCAGCTGCTGGAGAGATTCCAGGATGAAGAGACAATAATTGGAGTGACCATCGACACTATCAGGTTTGTCAGATATACATTCTTTCGTCTGGTGTTTCTGTGTGTGTGTATGTGTGTGTGTGTATGTGTGTGTGTGTGTGTGTGTGTGTGTGTGTGTC